CACACACACACACACACACACACACACACACACACACACACATGAGAACTGTGACAAAAAAGATCAACCAAATTCTGATCCATCCTGTTCTAAAAGGAAAAGGAAATCTCAAACTGGATTTGTCAGTCAAGTATTCAAAACACAAAAAGAGAGGATTGCCACTCAATTTTGATTTCCAAGAAACTGCCTTCCTGGAACGGCTCTGGGGACAGGGAAGTCAACGGGACAGATTCTACACAAATTGATTGGTAATTTTCATGATGCAGCCACCTGCATGCATTTCTCTTAAAGATATGTGGTGACTGCATGTGCTTGGTATTCCAAGAGTCAATACTTTATAAACAAGTGTTAGAGTAGGGCCAGCTGACTCACTTTTCTTGTGGGGAACAGTTAGTTTTACATGCTTCCTGTCAACACTTGGAGGAGGCCGGTGTCAACAGAACCTTTCACGATCTGCAGAGAATGTGTTACTATTGCAGCTTATGCTGTTTGGCCCCAACTAGGAGGACAATGGAGAGCAATTTCTGGGGACTGTTTCTAAGTGTTTACTTCCCGTAGATGTCTTCCAAGTGGTTCTGAATGAAAAAGAGCCCATGAGGGATGGAGTTCTGTGAAAGTATGATCCTACCTGAAGGTCCACAGGCCGATGTGGAAGTTCACACAGGGCTCTGCTAAATCACACACACTGTTCCAGGGGAAAGGGCACATAACAGTAGAATTGCTGCATGATTGAGAATTGACCTCAGATTATCTCAAGTTGTTCCAAGACTCAGGATTTCAGATTCCTCATCCCATTTGGCCCCTAGAAATGACTCCCTCTGCCCCTAGTAGTGGTGATGTGTAGGGAGAGCAGAGATTCATTCTCCTACCATGCCCAGTGACTAACAGGCAGTGGGTGTGATGAAAAGATGGGAGGGGACTCTGTCTCAATGGGCTGAATGTTCCTGGTGATTATTGGAGAGTTCTAAGAACTGAATCCATCCATGGACTACAGGTTAGCTTTCCCTTGCCTTTTCAGTTGAGAAGGCGGGCTAAAGGATGAAGAACAAAAGTCTAACACTAAAAGAAGACACCAGCCCCATCTTGGCACAGTTCTCATGTAGAATATTGCACCCAGTGTTAACTAATGCTAGAAGCATCAAACTGTATAAATTTAAATGTATTTGCATATTATAAAAATAAAGATTAACATATACATATTTTACACTAGTGACGGAACATCGATGAACGTCAGTCGATCCCTCCTTCACATTGAACAGAACTGAAATCTGAGTGCTCTTAACACTGCCACCCGGACTGGACTATGGCTTATGTGTACATGGAAAACAAAATCCCTGAGAAGCCATTCAACATTTTTTTTTTCTTTTCTTCAAGTAGCTCTCTCCTTGGAGGATCACAGTTCTGAGGTTCAGGTTGTGAAACATTTGCTCCATGTTGGCTCCCATCTTCCCAGCCCCCTCCAACCCCTCCAAGGGTCCTCTGCAGGCACCTGGTGCGGTGGTTTCACCCTGGGCCCCAAAGACCCTTGGGAGCATGGTGGGTTCTCCAGGGGCAAGAGATGTCCCAGTCAGTTCCCATGCTCTGCTTACTCCATGGAAATTCCACAGCCACGAATGTCACTGGTTTCTGTGCTTTTCACCAACGTTCTTCCTAGATGGATGAGAAGACAAAATGACAAAAAAGAGAACAGCAGTCTCAATTACAAGGAAAGAACGGGATAACATAAATGAGTTTGCACAGGTTTCCAGTCTACTTCTAGAATTCTCTGTTATCATGGAGATGTCAGGCTCTCGATGACCCATCAAGCAAGCAGCCCCTTTAGCAGGTAGAGTAGTCAAATGTTGTTTGTGATGCTAAGCATAGGTCAGCAATAAAGGGGGAGCCAACACTAATGGTTATGCCCACTTACCTGGCTGGAACATTATAGATGAACTAGCTTCGTAATGAGCAAATACAGATTCTAAACACAGCCTTGCTTCCTCAGTAAACACACATGGACACATAAATACCCTGCCCCCAGGCTCAGAAATGCATGCCTCAACCTGAGTGTAGATGTCTACCACTGCTAAGCCTGCTTTCACTTCGAGTGCTACAAACAAGGGTGCCAGCTGAAGTCCAGGTTGTTTGAGCATGGAATGGAAACATGGCTGCTTTCTCAGCCAACTGAACAGTGGCATTTGACTGAAACAACAGAAGGGGAAGGTCAGATAGCTAATGCTTTTATTCTGGCTTTCTACCATGTTATGCCATGGAGGTTCTAAGAGTTTTAATGACACTTACTGGTATCCAAAGAAAACAGAGATGCCCCTCCATGTCTCTCCATGCTGCTTTATTTTATAGAGGTTGGTAACTCAATATCCATCTACTATTCCCTTTCAGCCCATATAAGAATGAGCTTAATCAATCTTCATATCAATAGCCTTTGGTTTATGACTTACACACTTACATACCAGTGATGCCCTTTCCCTTGTAGTTCATTGCTGCTCAGTTTCTCCATATTTTACCAATCCCACCAGGACCTGGGATGAGATGCCCAAGGGTGAGGGTATAGCTAAACTTTGTTGCAAGACTCCAAAGTGTGCTTGGTGGGTAAAAGAGAGGTTCACATTTCTTTGGCACTCAGTCATAAGAAAATGTTTGAAAACCTAGTAATATAATAAACTCCTGGCAGGGAAGGTTTTAAAACTGTCTCAAATTCCAGTAAGAATATGATACATCTAACTGGAAGAGGATGGCCATGTAAAAGCATGTGTCTCACTTAGGCAGTTAACGGATGGTGTGGCTGCCAGCTCTCGGTTCATGGGGCAGCAACTATTTTTCCTCAGTGACTATAATGAACTTCCAGAAATGCAGACAGTTGTGTCTGCTGTCTGCTCCCCTGAGCCACATGTAAGGCTGAGAATCACAAGATCACCTAACCAAGGCTGCTACAGGGAACATTCCACCCTTAGCACTTGCAGCATTTCCCACATTGTGATGGTTCCTGTTAACTGTCAACTTGGCAGAATCTGGATTCACCAAAGAGTAGGGCCTGGAGGAGATTATCTCGATTACATTAACTGAGGGGGGAACCCACCCACTGTGGGTGGGACCACTCCCTGGCTGGGATTCTGGTCAGTGTAAGTAGAGAACTGAGAAGCACTTACTGCCTCTCTCTGTCTCTGTCTCTCTGTCTCTCTGTCTCTCTCTGTCTCTCTCTGTCTCTCTCTCTCTCTCTCTCCCTTCCTTCCTTCCTCCCTCACTCCCTCCTCAGGGGTTTGGTGTTTTGAGACAGGGTTTCTCTGTATAGCTCTGGCTGTCCTGGAACTTGCTCTATAGACCGTGCTGTCCAAGGTTGCCTCTGCCTCCGAGTGCTGGAATTAAAAGCGTGTGCTGCCCCCGCCCAGCCAAGCTTTCTGTTCCTTGACCATCTGCTTTGAGATCTTGCTGCATTCACTCCCCATCCAGGACGAACTGTCTCTTGAACCATGAGCCACAGTAAACCCTTTCTATCCCTAAGTTGCTTTGGTCAGGGCATTGTATCACAACATCAGAGACAGGAACTAGGACACAACAATCACACTCTCCATCCATCAGATCTCCAACCTATCTCTATCTCACTGCTTTTCCATCTCAATTAGCCACCCCAGCCCTTCAAGGTCTACCCAAAATGCCACTTCCTGAACCTTTACCTGATTTTTCCTACTATGGCTCTCAGTGCTACTAATAACCTGTCATCAAACTTCTATTTCAATCTGGCATATCTTTGTCTGCATCCCACTCTGTGATTCTTATGGGCAGGTTATTTCACTGACACTTGCCACAATGCCCACTAGAATGCAAATACTCAACAAAGCTACACAAATAAAGAATACGATAGGAGAAAGGCCACAGACAAAAAGTAGTTAAGGACTGAGAGCTAGCCACTGTGGCCAACTGTCCGTCAAGTAAGGAGCTATCTCTTAAGTTAGCAAAGAGACTGACTGTGAAGAGCCTTGTGAGCCATGCCTGGGATTTTGAACTTGAGTCAGAAATCACCAGGAAGTTACCTCAGGACTTTTAAAAAGGGAGATATGTGACAGGTATTGACATTAAAAGATAAATGTTGGAGAGGGGGCTGGAAAGAGATATCTCGGTAATTAAAAGCCTTAGCTGCTATTCCAGAAGACCCTGGTTCAATGACTGTCACACACATGGTGGCTCACAGCTGTCTGTAACTCCAGTTCTAGGGAATCCAATACCTTCTTCTGGCCTGCAAGGGAGCCAGACACATGTGGTATACAGACATACATGCAGGCAAAACACACATTTGCATAAAACTAAATCTTTTAAAAAAGTATCAGTTTAAAGGACATGAAGACTAGTTAGAGTCTCAGTGATAGGAATCTTAGTGGATAGGGAATCAGCGGGTATCACAGAGTTCAAGAAAAGTCTCTCTCATGTTAAGGCATATTGATAAGATGGGCAAGGTCTCTGGTGACAGACTATATAGGTGGAAGCCATTGAAGTTGACAGTTTCCTAGCTTGAACAGACAGGCACAAAACACTATCACCAACTGGGACAGAAATGGAGAAATGGCGCATTCTGGGAAAAGAAGGGAGTGGATTCAGTTCTCTACCATAAAGCCCACAGGCTGCCAGATAGGATGCTGGATGAGGAGGTGGGGAGTTGAGAAGGCTCTGCTAGGACTTAGACTTAGACTCTCAGAAGGTTAGAACACCTGCCCCAACTCTGGACACAAAAAGAAATGAGCCTAATGCGCTAATCTGTCCATAACAGACAACCAGCAACAGCCTCTGAATCCACACAAGCCAATCCTACACTTGCATGTCTGCTTTGCCTTGGACATCAAGGCTGTTGCCCATATTTCCTCTTGCCTCTGTCCCACAAGCAAGCCTGAGCTTCCCTGTGTAGCTTGCCCCTTCTCTGCAGTGTCAGCCATCTGCTGGTCTATTGGCCTTATTATTCTTCAGAGTGGTTAACACACAGCATTTTAAAATGAGAGCATCTGGCATTGTGAGAACAGCATGGAAGCCTTGGACGGTGAAGCAAATGGCATACCTGTACACTCAGTAGCTGGGGTTGGAGGGGAAACACTGCTGGGTAAGACACGGAGGTCTCTGCTTCCTATGCCGTTCAGGGTTACTGAATGGATCAGTGTGTCAGGGACCTTTACTGTGAAGGATTTTGTCTAGGTGTTATAGGTGTTAGTGACTACAATATGAAAGATAGCATAACACACCAACACCTTCTTTTTATGGGAACAAGCATAGGCACTGAGGACACTCTAAACAAATTTTCATTTATTCTCCCTTGGCAATAGAGAAGGGAAGGCACTATTCTCACTTACATATCCAGCATACACATTACTCTTCTACAGGCAGACCTTTTAATTAATAAGTGCCTAGATAAGCCTGTGGGTAAATTTTACCATAGTATCCTACCCACATTGTAGAAACATTTTGCTTATAGTATTTACTGTCTAGGCCATCCAGTGTATGCTACATATACTCCTAGTAGAAACAACAGTAGGTATATTTATTGAGCATATATTTGCTCTATGTAATTATATTAAATGCTGTGTTTGAAATTGCCTATCTCATGAGACAACTTCATGAAATAAGTACCTCCACAATCTACATTTTACAGATGTCTAACATCACACTACTAACAAATAGCAAAGACTCAGTAGCCAGGCTGGGTGGTCCACGCTGGTAATCCAAGCACTCAGGAGGCATAGACAGGAAGGTGGAAAATTATAGACTAGTCTGGACTATATAGCAAGACTGTCTAAAAGTAAGAAAAAGAAAGGAAGGAAGGAAGGAAGGAAGGAAGGAAGGAAGGAAGGAAGGAAGAAGAAAGAAAGGGAGAGAGAGAAGGGAGAGAGGGAGGGAGGAAAATTCAAACTCTAGTGCAGTGGAACCTCAGAGCTCAAACAATCTTGAGAAAATAAACATTGTTTTCACAAAGTTGCATGAGGTGTTAACCAACTTGCACTCTTCCTGGTGTTACAGTCCGTAAAATATGGTAACTTAAAACACACACACACACACACACACACACACACACACTTTTTTTCCCCAACATGGATCTACTATTACCGACTCATCATATTATCACATGCTAAGTGAAGAATCAAGCATTTTGCTATTTATCTATCCCAAGATCAATGACTCTACACAAATGAAGTATAAAGTGCCCTGGACTCTCTTCCCTATGGATTCTCTTTACTCCCAACCCAGCCCATCTCCTCTCTAAGTTCTCCAGGTTCTTAGGGCCATACACATTCAGGGGACTCTGTGATTCCCAGAGACTTACCCTTAAAACTTGGTGCTCCTAAAGTCACAGATTGGGTACAGTAAAAATGGAAGCAGAGGGAAAGAAGCACTATCCTTTCCACTTAATTGTCCAAGAAAGGATGAAGATACCTGAGCAGAGAGGGGAGAATTCCAGGATCAATGTGGCTAATGGGAGACTCCATGATTCAAGAAACACAATTCCTCCCAGCCAGAAAAGACAGCCAGGCAATGGACTAGTCTCTCCTTGCCAAAGATAATATAAATAAATTAATTCGATGGGGGAGCCACAGACAGGCAACCTCCACACTTAGCTGTAAATACCAGGCACCCCCCTTCTGTTTACAATTTTGTGGTCAATGAATATGGTCCACTGTGATCAAGCCAAATACAGATCATTCCATTTCTCTTTGAGATATGTTTTCAAATCCATATTAAGTAATCCAGGGAGACTTTGAAATTTTTGCCCAATTATTTGGTGAGATAAAGGCCACAGTCTTCATCCTCATTGCGTCTGTGTGTGTGTGTGTGTGTGTGTGTGTGTGTGTGTGTGTGTGTGTATTTCAGTGGGTCTTAAATATCTTTCTGTCATAGCAATGTTATTGCAGAATTTCCTGAGTGAGACAACCACTGTGCTTTTTAGAACAGTTAAGAGTAGCAAAAAAAACTGGTATCTGGTGGGGCTCTTATTTGAATGTGTACCCTACTGTGCATAGGCAATCATCAAGGTTCTTCAAAACAACAACAGAGTTTGAAATGCATATCTCAGCTCTGCCCTCTATTGTTAATGCATTCTGAAATACAAATGCTTAGCTCAACATGTTTAAGCCAGAAAGAACATTTTTTTTGCTAATTCTATTAACATGCCATCTAACAAAATCTACTAACTTCTCCCTCTCTCTCTTTTAATATTTATTTATTTATTATATATACAGTGTTCTGCAGGCATGTATGCCCTGCACATCAGAAGAGGGCACCAGATCTCATTATAGATGGTTGTAAGCCACTATTGGTTGCTGGGAATTGAACTCTGAACCTCTTAAAGAACAGCCAGTGCTCTTAACCTCTTAATCTCTGAGCCATCTCTCCACTTCCCCAGAACTAGCTTCTTTTTTCTCTATGAACTTCCATCTCTTCTCCAGGTGATGGAGCACACAAATATGATAGCACCACAGGAGAAAGGTCAACTATTAAGAAATAAAAATTAACCATTTCTACATCCTGCATGTTCCAGGGTCAGTCCACAAAAGGAACCACACAAAAGAACATGGGTGGCTTGCCAGTATGCTGGGAGGTAAAGTGGTTTGGCTTTTTGCTTGTTTGTTGGCTACCCTGCTGAATTCTTTCTGGTCACCACAGGAAATCAGTAGCCAAGTTGGGGTAAGCAGTTTATAACAGAGTTCACACAGTTTAGTTAGTGGTGGAGGGACACTGGACAAAATTTCCTTGGAAAGAAAAAGAAAACAATTTTCAGGTGCAGGACACCTGAAAATGAAGTGTGGTCGGCCATCTGCCATTTGCACCAAAGCTCACACACATGCATGCAGACTAGAGCATTAAGAGTTTCAACCTGCAAAGAGACTGCAGAACTAGGGATTCACAAACAAAAATGTAACAGATTCTGGAATGTTGACCAGTTTGATCTTGTGTAGGTAACTGCGGTAATTGTGAGTTCTTGAGTGGAGAGACCCTCTCTTCTACAGAAGGTAACAATAGAGGACAGAGCTGAGATAAGCATCTCAAAACTCTCTCTCTCTCCCCCCTCTACTTCTCCCTCTCTCTTCCTCTCCCCTCCCCCTTTCAACTGTGTTTTGCTGTGGTTCTCCCCAATCTCTGGCTCTTACAATCATTCTGACCCCTTTTCACAATGGTCCCTAAGCATCTAAGCACCATGGGGGAGGAGTGTGATAGACTAGTCCCATTTGTAGCAGAGCTCTCAGCAGATGTTTGTTTACTCTCTGCATCTTGACCAGATGTGAGTGTCTGCATTAACTTTCATCTACTGCATTGAGACTCTTCTCTGAGGAGGTCTGAGAGCTATAACAACCTATAGAGGTATGAATTTAGAGTGTAGTTTCCTATGTCCATTTACAAAACAGCAGTAGTACGCTTGCCCTTAAGGCCAGTGAGTTCCCCAGCCATGAGTTCTTGGCCAGATTTATAATACCAGGCATGTGTTTCCTCCTGTGAAATGGGCCTTAAACCTAATCAGAAAAGAGTTGGTTACCCCCTACATAGTTGTGCCATCCTGGTCACTAATTGTAGCTCACAGAGTTTATTGGTGAGTCAGACTGTTAATGACTCCCTCCTACATAGCACCATGAAAGCTGACCAGCAGGAAGAAGCTTCCCGATTAGTACCAACTTGAGTTTTTCACATACTGTGATCAAAGTATGTGGTATTGTCACAATAGGGTCATAACATCAAGTTCAGGTAAGTAACCAAGAACAAATGGAATGGCCTGCATTGTTTTAGGGTATCACCAAGACATTCCAACCAACAACTCAAGGGAGGTTATCCTTCATCTGTCACTAGGCTTTTTCTATGGCATCTCATGGCTTCTGGGAAGAACATTATCCTCTGTGTAGGGTAATTCCCATTAAATTCACAGTCTCCTACCCCTAGCTGAGGAGCTGTTGACAGGAGCTGACAGCTTCTGCAGGAGAGTCCATTTTTTTAAGGGTGTGGTCCTAGCAGATGGCCTCCACACCTATGATTATATGAACAGCATAAGGTAGACTTAGTGGATTATTTAAAACAAACAAACAAGAGGGCATGAAGCTGGGAGGATTGGGGAATGGATCTGAGCATAAAACAACTAGGGGGGGAGGAAAGGAGGATAATCAAGATTTATGTCCATATGAAAGTATCAAAAGGTAATAAAGATATTGTTTAAGGTGTAAAAAAATCAACCTTCTATTTTCTCTCTACTCCTCCCAGTGAGAGTTCAGTCAGCGTCTTCCCACCCCCTCTCCATCTTGAGACTCTGCATCCTCAGATTTAACCAACTGCAGACAGGAAACACTGGTGCATGGAGCCATGCATCTGTACTGGCCATATACTTTCTCTTATCATTATAAGTGTCAAAGCAATCTAGAGATGATTTAAAGTATACAGGATGGTATGCAGAAAGTGCATAAAAATTTTATGTCATTTTATTTAAATAACAAGCTAATTTATTTTCCAAGACAGGAAACTAGTACGTAGTTCAGGCTGATCTGGAACCCAACAGGATCACAGGCAAGTACCACAGGCCCCACTCATGCCATTTTATACAAGGACTTGAGTATTTTGTGATTCTGGTGTCCAAGAGAGATGGGGCTTTGTTACAATCCCCAAGGGATTACCCATCCCTCACATACATGGTGTAGCATGCTTGGATGCTGAACTGTCAAGAGGCTACAACTAGGAAGTTCTGAAGAAAGCTCCTCACCTCCCTCCAAGCCTCTCTACCTCTCCTTCATCACCCAGGAAACAAGGAGCTGCAAGTAACACATGGTGCAAGTCACTTATTTCATTTGAGTTGGCTTGAACTGTGCCAGTAACCAAGAAATTATGAGAACTTTTTTCAAACTTAAGAATTTGCTTAATACCAACACATCAATCACCAAAACCATTCTGGAAAACGACACTAAAAACATTGGCTGCACAAATGAGGTGCCACATTACATTAGACACAGTAATGACAATTAGCACTAGATTTCTTCTTAGTGTGATGAGGATGCTTCAGAATGAGATAGTGGTAAGGAGTGGAGAAGTCATACCACTTAAAATATACTGAGAATCATCAAGCACTGTGTAAAGCAGACATCAATGGAGCTTTAGAACTCTGTCTGATACAACCCATGCTGAGGAAGGTTTTTGTTGTTATTTGTTTTGTTTTGAGCAACCCTGCTGTCAGATGCATGGTCATCCCGTGATGTGACCACAATCATGACCCCATGACTGTAAAGGGATCCTTCACAAACACACTTCAAAAGTGCAGAAATAGCTCACAGTTGAATAGGTTAGCAAAGTACACAAGATACCTCTAGGTACCTGTTTTCCCTCTGGAGAAAGAAGGGCAGGAGGAGAAACAGCATTTCATCCACTCCCAAAATCTCTTCTCAATGGAATGCTGGGAGAGTCCTCAACCACCCACCACTTAGACAACTCAAAGGTGTAAGTCCCATGGAGAATGAGCCCTCAGTGAAGACCTACTATAAGCTCCCAACCCCCAAACCTACTATTAACTCCTTACTTTCCACCTCTCTTTCATTGGGGAAAGATACCTGAAAATTCTTGGTTTTTTATTTTTAATTAGTGTGTGTGGTGTGTGTGTGTGGGGGGGTAAGTGCAGGGGCAAAGGTCAGAGGAGTCCTGAGAGCTGGAGTTACAGGCTGTTGTGAGCCATCTCATATGGGTGCTGGGAATCAATCTTGGATCCTCTCTAAGAGCAGCTGGTACTCTTAATGTAATGACACTCAGATGCAGAGTCATGCGAACATTTTAAGTGAGAAACAGCAAAGTTTGGGATTCATAAGGAGGTACTAAATAACCACCATTGATTCTTTTTTGTTTATGAACTCTACTGTATCACTATTTCACATATGGCTAAGGTGGTATATTAAATGTCAAGTCTTCGATGATGGGGGAGGTCCTTCTGTGTATGTGTTTGTCTTATTGGTTGATAAATAAAGTACTGTTGGCCAATAGGAAAGTAAGATAGGTGGGACTAGGAGAGAAAGAGGATTCTGGGAAATGTAGGAGAGAGTAGTCGCCATGTGACTGCCGGCGTCCTCTATAAGATGTCTTATAAGTATATAGATTAATAGTCATGGTTAATAATTAAGACTGATGTTGCAGATAAGAAATCCTAGTCATTGGCCTTCAGCACTGTACCTAATATAAGACTTTGTCTGTTATTTCAGGTGCCCATGTGGCAGTGGGGCTCGGGTGGCTTGACAGAAAGAATTATCATTACAAAACTGGGCAAATAATGGCTTGGAGAGACTGTTTCAAAGTGTTAAAGGATCAAGGTCAAGGACATAGAGCAGGGGTTGATTCTGGTACCTGGGACTGTTCTAGTTAGCACCTGTCATCCCAACATGATAATAAACATTCATCCCGACTCAGTCCTTTCTTGACGTGAACAGTGAACAGAGTCTCATCCTAGCTAAGAGTGGAGGGGTCAGGAGTGACTGACAACACCATGCATGTACCAGGTTCTGCTTTTGGGTTGGCTTTACAAAGGTCCATGGGGAAGGTAAAGGACACCTGGCTGGAGGCCATCATTAGTAGGGCAGCGGAACCACAGAGTTAAAGTCCAACAAACATACTTTAGAACAGACCCAGTGACTTCAGAGTCTTCAAAGATGCACACCTGGCTACTTTCCCTGGACATTCTGATACATGTGCCTGCTGAGGACAGTTCAACCTTTCCCATCTGCTTGCAGTTTATGAGCTGCTCTAGAGGGAGATATCACTTTTTCATGAGCTTCTTAAGTTAGCTGCCAAGCTGGGCGTTGGTGGCACATGCCTTTAATCCCAGCATCAGGAGGCAGAGGCAGGTGGATATCTGTGAGTTCAAGGCCAGCCTGGTCTACAAAGTGAGTTCCAGGACAGGTTCCAAAGCAATACAGAGAAACCCTTGTCTTGAAAAAAAAATTCAGTCTTAAGTTAGCTGCCTGGAGCTGCAAGGGCAGTGCTCAATCTAGGACTGCTTGCCATCCTGGGATACTAAGCCTCAGCCCTGGGGCCAAAGCCATGTGACTCAGTGGCTGCTAGCAGTGGTTTTGGACACAGTGTCAATCATCGTGCTTCAGACCTTCCAGTGGGCCTGGCCTAGCCTGCATGTCTACTTTTGTTTAGTGCTCATGGCTGTGGGTTGTGGATGTTTCATGGCATGGGCTTCAGATTGCATCTTACAGGCATAGGCTCTTATCCAGACAGTCACGAGAGTGGTCATTTCTCCTGGTCTCCACACTAAAAAAAGTTAGTCTTGCCAAAGATGCAACACTTTCATAGTTAGGGAACAGTCCTTCATCTAGAGCTGAGAATTATACTGCCAAGACACTAATATTTGCTACATCAACAGGGTTTCAGTCCCCAGGGGTGTTTCCCTCCTGCAACTAGCAAGGTCTAAGCCAATGGCCATTCTGATGATAACCAAATTTAAAGCTGGTTGTTCATTTAGGTTCAATAAACTGTCAAGGAGAGGCAGACTACATGGTTTTTTCTTTCTTTCCCCAGGCTGGTAAAAGGGGTCTTTCTGTGGTAGAACACAGAGCCACCCATGGGACTGGCTTGATAACTCTGGCTCTGTGCCACTAGGGCGTCTGGCACAAGCCGATATTTAACTCCTTTATCTATCTTGTCCATTAAATAGCATGGATCCTTGTGAAAACAAGAGATTAGTGTCTCTGGAGGCTCAGGGACATTTACATCAATACAAAGTATATTGTGTCCTGAACCTCTCTGCTTCTATACACCCCTTTATCCCTTCCTTGGTGTATCCAAAAGGCAAGGAGCAGTAGGCACAGACTCAAAGAAACTGCAAGGCTGACAAATGCCTAGGTTGTGATATGTTCAGGGAGAGGAAGATGCAAGTTAATGAGGGATCCTTGTGTGATTATACTGTGGTACAGGAGAAGAACCTCAAAGCCTCAGTTTCTTAGAGTCACCCGAGGGATGTTGCTGCTGGGTGCATTCCAGATAAAATAGCATCCTAAATCTAGTGTTTGAGAGGTATTTCCCACAGGTGCTTGGAGCTAGTTTCCAGCACAGCTATATTGCATAGGCTTTGACTAATGAACTGCCCAGTTTGCAGGAAATGGGGCTTTGCCTTCTACTTCTGATGTACTGTAACATCATGGAGACCTGGCTGTACAGAAAGCACAAGACAGGAGGAGAGCTGCCCCTGCCTGTGAGACACTCCTACCACAGAGCCCTGGCATGTGACCAGACAGCAAGTTCCTGGTGAAGAAAGCCTGGTTTTGTCCTCCTACCTACTTGACTAGATGACAGAGAAGTCACAGTACTCAAGTGCAAACTTTCCAATGCCTTATAAACCTTTGTCCATTGTGTGTATGTGTAAGGAGGGGGAGGCACACTATACAACCAACAAACCAGGATGCTGTGTGACTATGGCCAGCTGGCTGGTAAGTGACTGGAGCTATCACCAAGCAACGAGCTTCAACCCAGGAATGTCTATGATTGCTGATTTACCAACTTATAGTCATTTCGTCTCAGTTTAAAAGTAGCCCCTTTGGTTTCTAGTATGACCAAAACATATAAATAAAACTCTCAAGCCAATAGGATGTCTCTTTTGTAGACAAGACAGCATCTATTCTGTGTGAATATTTGTACACGTGCATTCCCTGTCAGTCCATTTGGGGAGAAGGTTGTAGCCAGCCTACAGTCTTTGCTTTTCTGGGCTTGATTAGAGAATGAGAGACCCCTGCAAAATCAAATCATTATAGATTTTCTGCAGCCTTTTCAGTTTTAATGGCCCCTTGCTGTTCTTTGAAGTGAAACCCACTTAATTCTGCAATGACAGTTAAGAACTCTCACTTGGGACAAGGATGAGGCTCAGGTGGACCCTAGAGGCTTTTCAACAAAGCTCTGTAGTAATGCTATTGGGGGGGAGCATATTTTTTTTTGGTTGTACATACCAGAAAACGGACTAAAAACCAATGAACTATATGCACATCTTAAATGAGTAAACTCTGTGGTTGATGAATTATACATCTGAGACACTTTCTAAAAAATTGTTGACTTCATCAGCAAAGTCAAATATCACACAATGGCAGGCAAAACAAGTTTATATTTTGCTGCTTGAAATGCCTCTGCCCTCAGGACTTTTCGAGGTTTTTGCACACATGGTTGAACTATTGAGCCAGAATCTGCAACAAGGAACTGGTGGGACTTGGGAACTCACTTGGAACAGGGGCTGATCACAGTCGGTGTAGGTGGGTAAACCAAGGCCACATTCACTCGCTCGCTGCCATTTTTGGGGCAGATGATCTCTGCCACCCCTTCTGGCCTGGGCTGACTCAGCAACTCCCCTGCAAAGAAGAGAGAGAAAACCCATTAGGAAACAGGACCAAAAGAGTGGGACTCCTTGACACAGAGGAATGCAGCACTTTCAAAGGGGGAAGGGAGGCAGATGCCATTAGTAAGGAAATCGGTGACGGTCTGTAGACATGGAGACAGTACCAACATGTAGCTAGCACAGCAGGACTGCAGGGTTCTAGCTCCAGCTGCCTTGATCCTCAGCACATCACCATGGAGAGGGCTCTTACGTGATGATGGCAGTAGTGAGAAGGTGTGCCCTCCCAGCAAAAGAAAGCACCTGCCACGACAATCACCTTTCTTTTCATTCTGACTCCTGAGATCTTCATGCCAGCCAGGCAGAGGTGCCAATGAGAGGCTCGTAATTGAGATTTGGGAATACAGGGCTTCAACAGAGCTAGCAGGCTCGAAACAAAGCTCTGTGCAAATGATCTAGACACGCTGCAGGCTCAAGGTGTTAACAAGGTAAATAGCAAGACCACAGTCCAGCCTCCTGGAACAAGAGGATTTCCTGAATGCTGAGTCAAAAGCACAGGGTATTATCACATGACTAATGGGGCCTAGTAGAAACAGGTGATTAACTTAATGGATTAACTCAATACCTAAAGGAAATCAGACACTGGGCACACCTGCACATCATCTCTCTGCCTTGAGATCATCAGCTCGTCAGGAGGAGCAGCAACTTCCACTCCTTAGCCTCCTCCTGGCAGGTCCCTCATCTGGACGGCCTGTCCTTGCTCCTTCTGTCCTTCAGGTTTCTCTGCTTAGAGTACTCAGTCAACAGTGTCTGGCTCCTGACAGCCCTTGTCTTTGCCTGATGGCCCTGCTAAGCCTAGAAGTAAATAACTCAAACCAAGGACACAAAAGGCATACCAAATAGGGGAAAGACCCTAGTGAAATTCAGTTTATTTATTTATTTATTTATTTATTTATTTATTGTTTTTCAAGACAGGGTTTCTCTGTGGCTTTGGAGCCTGTCCTGGAACTCGCTCTGGAGACCAGGCTGGCCTCGAACTCACAGAGATCCGACTGCCTCTGCCTCTGCCTCCTGAGTGCTGGGACTAAAGGCATGCGCCACCAACGCCCGGCATGAAATTCATCAGTTTTAATGAGCATTTGAAATTCTAGAGACTCCAAAGTATATACTGACATGTAATGACAGAAACTTTTTTTTTCTTCTTCAAATCCTGTAGTTGGCCAAGCAAGGTGGCTTGGTGTGTTATGTATTTTGTGGCAAAAGCCTGATGACCTAAGTTCAATCCCCAGAACCCACATAAAGATGGAACGAACTCCACAAAGTTGTCTTCTGCCTTCATGTACCCACCTCGAGAGCACGCACGCACACACACACACACACACACACACACACACACACACACACACTCAAGGTGCTATTATTTCTAAATACTCCACCATCAGCTGAGCTTACAATGATGGAACATGTGCCCACACTGAATCAGAATCCTGGAGTGTATCTGTGTATCATGTCACCCTGAGGGCTCATCCCCATTTTACAAATGAAGAAGCTGCTGCCTCACTTAGTGTTTCTATTGTTGTGATAAACAGCATGACCATAAGCCAGTCCAGAGAAAAGGCTTAATTTCAGCTTACAGCTTTCAGGTCACCCACCATTGCTAAGGGAAGTCAGAGCAGGAACTCAAACAGGGAGGAAACCTGGAGGCAGGAGATGATGCAGAACCCATGGAGGGTGCTGCTTACTAGCTTGCTCAGCCTACTTTTTATAGCCCTCAGGACCATCAAGCCAGAGGCAGCACTGCGCACAGTGAGCTGGGCCCTCCACATTAATCATCAATCGAGAAAATGTACCACAGGCTCGCCCAGAAGCCAATCTGGTGGGGCATTTTCCTCAGTTGAGGTTCTTGTGAGACCAAAACAGGAAAAATATACCGTGCAGGTTAAGGGTTCTGTTTGCACCAAAGACAGTTAAGAATAAGTTCCTGTTTGTTCAACCCATCTGCACTGGATGTGCTTGATCACATGTGGATAGGAAGTTAGTGGGCAGGAAATATGTCAGGATGTATGCTTGCTCCTGATTGGATCTGATGGGAAATGCAATGAATTATGGGTTTTGTCTTTTTAAGCCCCTGCAAAACGTAACTCAAGGTTATTTTCTGGGAACCCAGAGGTGGATCTGGCTAGAGCCCATCCACCTGGCTAGTATTTAATTAAAACTTTCTTCAGTTTTGTCTCAAAATTGTGGAATTGGTTTTTCTCTCGTTACTCTCAGGATTAACAGTTCTCTCTTCCAGAATGATTATGGCTTGTGTCAAATTGACATAAAACTAGCCAGCACACAACTGCTCAGGGAAGTTATGAGATGTGCCCAGCAGCAGGGGATAACTAGTGGCAGACATGGGAGCAGGGGCTTAGAATCCCTCTGCTACCAGTCTCCAGTACCTCCCCAAGGCAGGGGCTGCTTCTCCAACCAGGGTGCATCTTCCCTGGAGGAACTGCTTAATATCACTATTTTAAAATGAATTTAGGCACTGTCATATTTATACTTTTAGAGGCACATTAATCTCCCAAAAGGAACATTTTTCTGTGGCTTTGCACAATCAGAACTGGATCTAATTTTAGTCCATTCACCAAATTACTGCAAACATAAAAGTATTGCAAATGTCATCCAGCACCATTAGCTGGTCTTGCAGACACCTATGTGTCAGAACTATGTGTCATCCAACACCAGCTAGGAAATGGTCAGAATAAGAAAGATGCCAGCTACAAATGGAAACACTAAGTAATGTCAAAGCAACACGATGGACCCGACCGAGTAAGAGCAAGTCAGAGCTCGCTCACACCTGGAAGCCATCCAGTCTAGCATCACTGGTTAAGCCAGATGTCTGCATTTTAACAGAGTTGCTAAGAGCTGTGAGTCTGGGTAGTCCAAGCAGCCCACAGTGAGTCACAGAACCACCAGGGCCCTGGGGACAGAGTACTTTCAGCTGGTCCTGGCCAGCCCCCCTCCTGGCTCTTCTTTGGTACTTTTTAAATTAGAATCCTAAGATCACCCCGAAGTCTGAGCACAGCTTGGGCTTCTCTGTTTTCCCCTTGGAAATTCTCCCTGATTGATTGCCATGGCGCACAGGCCTCAGTCCCATCTGCTCTGAACTGCCTGCTTACCCAGATAACGACTGCAGGTGCCAAGCCCTATCCCTTGCATGCGCCCCTGGCACCAGCCACACACAGCTGTTATATTGCTGAAGATACTGTAGTCTTTGGAGAGCATGAGGCCAGCTTTTTAAATGGCAAAGCTGGAAATAACCTGCAGATTTTTAAGCATTGGTTACCAATGTCTATAAAACCAGCAGCCTCACTGCCCTCAGGTAGATGGTTTGGTTTAGGTCCATGTTGCAGTTTTGTCCTGCATGCTGAGATTCTGACAGGAGATGGAGACAAGAGGAAAATCCCTAGGTTAATCATCACCATGTCCTTAGAAATTGTGGCACTCCTTTCCCTGTCTCTAGCTTCTAATGTTTGGTGCAATCTATCTTTTCATATATGCTTCTGTTTTGTCATCTGCCGTGAGGTGACCAAAGAGAGCCCTTGCCAGAGCCTGTGTCACAGTGTTTGAACTTTCTGCCTCCAAAAATGAGCTAAATAAACCCGTTTCTCTATACAGTTAGCCTGCCTCAGGTATTCTGTCATAGTAAAGAAAAATGGACGAAAGCACGTGGAAGTAGAGCACAAAGGTAGAGGGTACATGTGAAAAAATTTGCTTGATGTAAAAAAAAAAACAATAAAATGAACACACCAATAGATCATAGTCTCAAGTGCACCTGTACCACCAAAAATCTACTGTACAGTGTCAGGATTCTCAGGAGTGACAAAATACCCACAGTTCTAAATTGAGAAAAACCTGTTTTAGTAGAAATGCAAAGGATGGTCAGAAATGCATATGCTATGGAGGAAAACAAGGGATCGAAGCATCCTAAACTTGAACACAAGCTAGAGCTTAAGATGCACATGTTCGGTGGAGCAGCCACCTGCTGTGTATAAGATCTGGGTTAGCCGGGTGTTGGTGGCGCACACCTTCAATGCCAGCACTCGGGGAGCAGAGGCTAGTTGGATCTCTGTGAGTTTGAGACCAGCCTGGTCTACAAGAGCTAGCTCCAGTACAGCCTCCAAAGCCACAGAGAAACCCTGTCTCGAAAAAACCAAAAAAAAACCAAAAAAAAAAAAAAAAATGATCTGGGTCCCTGCCTCAGGCATGCCCTTGAGAGTAGGAGCTCAGCACCAAAAGGAAGACCCAGAGTGCTCCGTCACGTTTCTGGGCAGCAAGGGAGTTCACCTGAGATACTAGCAGACCATGGAGGAAAATAAGCCAAAAGACCCATCTAGCGCAATAGGCTTCGAGTTCCTCAGATGTTCAAATGTGGTTCCCACGGTGGCAGGTCTGGTAGTTAGGTGCTGCAAACCTTAAAAGCTGGGGGTTTGAGATGGTCCCTGGAGGCTTCCTGGCTTGGGATGTGAGTGCTTGCTCTGCCATGGGCTCCTGCCATGATGTGTTGTCCTTGTACAAACTAACAAGCTGCCTAGACTTGGGTTTAACTCCAAAATTATAAGCCTAAACAAATCTCTCTTTACTTCAAAGGTAGCCTATGGCTCCTTCCCATGGTATCCCCCAGGCCAATGGTTCTCAACCTTCCTAATGCTGAGAGACCCTTTAATTCAGTTCCTCCTGTTGTGATGACCCCAAACCATAAAATCATTTTCACTGCTACTTCATAACAGTCATTTTGGTATTGATATGAGTTGTAATGTAAATATTTGTGTTTTCTGATGATCTTAGGCGACCCCTGTGAATTGACCCTAAAGGGGTCATGGCCCACAGGCTGAGAACCACTGCCCTAGGTGGTCAGCTGTATCAAGATGAGGCTGCATTATCTCCTTCCCTGCTGTTGGCTGTCAGAAACTCATTGAAATGGGTTGTGAATGCAAACTTCACACTTTCATGAGAAGCCAGTGCCCCCCA